AAAGGTTATGAGGCAGCCAAATGTATGCCAGATATCTTAGGGAAATGTTTGCACATTGCTAGACAAGATATTTTTGCTATGTTACACCAAGTGGTCTTTTGGAGAATGTGGATCTGAACAAGACAAATTTTTTAAAAAGCTTTTAGGTCGTGTATCATGTCACCAAGGTCAGTGTGGCTTGCTCATCCTTGCATTAATGAAAATTGCTTTGATTAAATGTTGGAACTGAAGAAAAATAATAAGGTGTTGGACTCTTTGCTAACAATCACATTCTCCTTCTCCCTGTTCTCACATGGCCTAATGTGCTCATTTTGAAGGAAAGAAACTTGATGAGCAGAGAAATAACATGATCAGCTCAGGAACACAACTGCACTCTCTTTAGACCAGTGTGCTTTTCACCCAGGAAAAGCAGCTGAGATGTAGAACATAGGAACTGTGCACTAAGGGACAATCCTAACTATCTAGTGACTTCCATGAGGGGTACACATGAGTTTGCACATGGTCTACTTAACCAACTCACAGCCTATGCCTCTTAGTACTTAAAAGAGGTATAGTTTCTAGGTTTGCTCTCTGTGCCCCTCCCCACCAGCAGTGTTTCCCAAAGCATCTCTCTTGCATCATCGCCATTCAACATACACCAAAGTAGAAAAAATTCACTGGTTAGACAGATTTGGAAGATACCACACACTGCATCCCTCTTTTAGCTATTCGTCATGCATGCTGGAATACTGAAGGCTTTGCAATGTCTTGCAAGGAAGAAGCATCGAACTTCCTTTAATCAGGGGTTTCCAAAGTCATCTGACCATGGAACCACAGTTCATGTAAACCTGTAAGTTGCAAGCAACATAATACTTAGAAATCCTGCCTAAAACCTACATTAAAGTTGAGGAGATACATACACTGAAAAATAATTTAGATCAAGTTCATAGATGGTAGAGTAAGGGATCCACAGTGAGCTCTCTGTAGATACTTGAGTGACAAGCCATATAATCTCGACAGAATATTCTTTGTGGCTAATTAGCAGGGATGGCATACTAAGCTGGGCTGCCCAGGCTTTTCACTCATTAGGATCTTTCTTAATTGTGAAGGTGTGGTTGACTGTGTGTGTGTGTGTGTGTGTGTGTGTGTGTGTGTGTGTGTGTGTGTGAAAGGGAGAGTGGTTGAGTGAGTGTGTGTGTCTGTGTGTCTGTCCTGGATAAACAGATGGCTTAAAAAAGGAAAAAGCACTAGGCTCACAGTCAGCAGGCCTGCTGTGTCTTGGCGTTTGTCATTGATGTGTGGTGTGACATCTCAACAGTTCCCTTCCTCTGCTGGCTAGTGTGGGTGTTACTGCACAAGCCCCGCCCTCTGTCCTGTAGGACCCAGCAGGCCTCTCCGCACACTTGGGACCTCAGCAAGTACTGTCTGAAGGTGGAGAGGAGGAGGTTGTCAGGCTGATGACATAATGTCTAAGCGTTTGGGTCACCTCGGGAGGAGCAGGGTGTTTGGGACAAAGAGCCGTCGTTCCTGAGGGAGAGATGAGTGGCGTGTCTGGCGCCCCACAGCGGCCATGCGGTGCAGCTTGATGGGCTGCGCAGGATGCTGGCAGTTAGATGCTCCTGTAACAAAGCCCCTTTGGTTTTAAATAACAGCGACTATTTTTGAGCTCGCGTAAGAAAGAACAGAAAACATATTGGGTAGGTGTTTGAGCATACGATGGGATTTCAACACTTGGAACAGCCAAATCTTACGACAGTTTAGAAGCATGAGGGCTCAAGGGATCTGCCTTTAACTCTCAGTTCCCGTGAGTCTCCGCTCTGATTTTGGGTGAAGTGTCCACTCTAGTCCATTTAGTCATGATGATACCTGTTTGTTCAGGACAGTGTGGAAATACCTTGATCTCTTGGAAGATGAGTCCTTTCTCCAGCCCCAGGGGATGAATTGGGATGCACCGTGACAGTCTAACGCAGTCATAGTAGTCTCATTTCCCTGTGTCAGGAACTGGTCTGGGGTGGCCATGTGACCCAGCACTAATGTGGGAGATGTAAGCAGCAGAGGGCTGGATATGGGTTCTGGGGGAGCTTTTATTTCCCCCAAAAAGAAGGAACAACAGATTCTCATGGCATGGCTCTTCCTCCCTTCACTTTCCCCCTTCTTCTTTGGAATTCAGACCTGATGCCTGGTGGGGCAGCAGTCGCCTTGTGACTGTGATGTGACTGGCACCAGGTGAAAGCTGTGTGCTAGGAGGAGGGGCTTTAAAAGAGAGAAAGTGAAGAGATCTGTAGAGTGGAGCTGCCACGCTGACGCTGGACCAAACACCTCTTGATGTGTTCTTATTTGAGAAAAATAATACCCCATTTGTGGACATCATAGTGCACTGTAGTAGGGGGTTGTTATTGTTACTTGCAACTGAAATCATTCCTAAGTTATGAAAAAGTTATATAGTATAAATACAGTTGTCAGGAGCCAATCCCTCTGGATCAGAGTGATTCTCAGGTCTTTAATAGGGGAGAGGACAGAGGATGGCCCATGAAATGGGGAGATATTCAAAAGCATCTACGAAAGCTACCCTGGAGCCGTGAAACCTCACCACTGCTGCAGAGCACGGAGAGGGGAGCCCTCTTTTTTGCTAGGACACAGCTGTCCTTGGTAGAATTAACTCATTAACTAATCAATTAATTTTACTAAGTTTTTATTGATCTCTTATTATCTGCTAGATATTTTTCTGGGTGTTGTGAATAGATTGGGGAAGACAGACGAGACGTTGGTTCTCATTAAATTCAGATTCTGAAAGGAAAATAGACCGTCAACCAGAAAAATAAATGAACAAAATCATTTCAGATAATGTGAGGTTCTATGTGAAACAGAAAACAGAGTTTCGTGATGGTTGTGGGAGGGTGTGTGCATGGCTTGAGAAGGAGTTATCTGAAATAAAACTGGAATTGCAGAAAGGAGCCAGCTGCATGAGACCCGGGGGCTAAGCTTTTCAGAAAGGAACGGCCCTAGGCGGGGATGAGCGTGGCCTGCTGGAGACACAGAACGGGTCATTCATGGGTGTCCAGTGCTTGGCGACTCGAGAGGCCACCCATGCTCATCACGTTGTGACCAGTGTTCTGGCCACTCAGCTCAGGGCATTGTGACGGATCTCGAGGCTGCTGACAAGGCTCCGGGCTATGTAGGTGACTGTTCCTGTCGCCTGCTGTCACAGCCTGGGATGGGATGGCTGGGGGAGGGTCTGTGTAATAGCCTGTGATCAGTGTGATGGTCATCCCCTTTCCTTTGAGACTGGACCTGTCATTCTCAGCCGTAACACACAGGCTCCGCGGGGGGTTGGCTTCCCCTGGGATGGCTCAGCCCCATTCTGGAAGGGCTAGCAGAGCACTTGGCAGGCACACAGCTGCTTTGGGACCACACTACAATCACTCCCTCATTTGACGGAGCTCCCTGTGGAAAGAGCAGGGCAGAGAGGCAGGAAGCCTGAGAAGGCCCCGGGCTCTGGCCCCCAGCCTGTGTGGCTGGTCATATCCAACATCATTGTCAAGTGATACTTATCAGTGAAGCAGTCACATGAGCTCACAGGGCTAGAAGCTCCCTCAAGGTCATCCTGTCTGGCATTACCCAGAACAGCGGCGCTGGAATGCCACCACCCCCACTTGTAGCAGGTTGCCTGCTAAACCAGATACCCGCTGCTTCCAGTACAGTATCCAGTTCTCTTTAACACTTGACCTTGGGGGCAGTTAATTACACCTCAGAGCTGTTGGATTTTCCCAGGGGTGCTCTGTCATTGGTGGCACCCTGGGCATGTGTTCACCTTAGGAGGGTAAGGAGGCCTGGCAGTACTCAAACTGCCGTTTAAAACCCTGGTTCACTTCTTCTAGGTCTGGGACAAAATGAATCACAAAATTTCAAAGTTAGAGGAGACTTCTGTGACTAATGTCTCTCCTCATATAGCTGGAAACAGAAAAGGAAACACGCCTTGACCAAGGCTAATATTCTATAACAATTATAGTAGGTATAATTCTAGATCCTTTTATGGGATCCGCATGGCTCTTTCCTAGATGTTTGCAGCGTCTGGTTGTAAGGTTCTGCTTTGACTTATAAGCCTAAGTAAAAAACCTTCCAGATCAACAATGTGTACGATCACGGGTCTCGGTGCCTCTGGCTGGTTTGACTCTCCCCGTCCTATAGAGCAGGCATTCTTTTTCTCATTTCACAGAGGAGGGAAGTGAATCCATTTCGTGTGTAAGGGGCGATTGGGGCGACACTGAACTCAGCTTAAGCCCTCTGCCTTTTCTCTAGTGTCACGTCCAAGTGCATCTCCGCTTTCACTCTCTGGGGGTGGAGGGACATAACAGACATAAGGTAGAACATGCAGGAGCCCTGAAGCAGACGCTCTCGGTTGCTAGGAGTCCTAAGGAGAGGATGCTGATTTTTAGCACGCTGCCGTCATTTTTCAGTGGCGTGTGCATACCTGTCCCTTGGAGGCCCCGTGTCTGAAGCAGAGGCCCCGTGGCGCCTAACCTCACTGGGTTCTGTCATCTCAATGGCTGCCTCCGCTTATTTCAAACACCATCTCCCAGACAGAGTGAGGCATGTAGAAGCCCAGGCTGTGAGAACCAACTGGTTGGATTCAAATCCTGCCTCTACCAGTTGTTCTGGGTGACCAGAGGGGTGTTACCTCGCCTTCTGGTATCTCGGTTTTCTTATCTACAAAATGGGGCTGGCAATAGCGCTTTCCTGAGGGTGGGGATGACTAAATGCGGTGAAGCACAGAGAAGAGTGAGTGCTCCGTCCACGTGTTTGTTGCCACATTTACTCTCGAGACAGCAGGAGGAATCCTGTCACAGATCTGAGTTCTCTCCTGCCGTCCGAAAAGACTACATTCCTAGCTCATGATACCTGCTAGGCATTCCAGGGTGAGAAGTACCTAAAAGATAGAATCATGCACAGTTTCCTGCTTGACTCTAGAGAAGGATTTGTCTTGTGAGCTCTGCTGCAAGGATTATCTTCTTTTCCCACAGCAGAAAGCTTTGGCTTACCCACCTGGAAAGACAGAGCTGACCTGGAAGTTATGCTTAAAGAAGAAAGAGGCAAGACCCTCTTAGGTAACTCGAAGAGTATAAGGATCCAGAGATAAAAGACCACTGCCCTGAACTTTTCCGAAGCGCAATAAACCTTTCTGCATAGGATTCTCCAGTCGTTGCCAAAGTATCTTTTATCTTTTTGCTTCTGTCTTAAGACAGACTAGAAAAAAAAAATAGTGAATGAACCCCCTCCCATTAGATTGTGTATTTGAGCTTAAAAGCCATGAAACTGCTACTATTCAAGTTATTTCCATCATGTAAAATAAAGTTTTTATAGTTTTTATAGTTTTTATAGTTTTTATAGTTTTTATAGTTTTTATAGTTCCTCAGCAATATTCTGACTCTAATTTGATTGTGGCTTGTGGATTTGTCTGTTTCCTCGCCCAGAGCTGATCCCCCCCGCCCCCTTTCTGTTTCTCATTCTCTCCCTCTCTGTCTCTCTCCTTTTGCTTATGCTTTTGTGTGTTGAGATCATCTCTCTACTGACCTTTCAGTGGCTCAGCATTTTGGTGCAGTGCACGAGCAGCGTTGGAAACCAGAGCCAAGGGGCAAACTGTGAAGCAGCAGCTCAGCCTCGCGGAGCGAGTGTGCTTGGTGCTATTTCTGGCCAGAGCAGATGTGGCCTTGGAGGACTGTGGGGAACAAGATCTCTCAGGTAAAAATAAATTACTAAGATTAAGACCCAGATGATGCAAATCCTTCATTTGCAAACAGACCCTGAATTGGGAGCCATGTGGGAAGAAGACTGGATTGGCTATCAGTCAGAGTCCAGCCTGGGTTTCTTCCAGATGACCCCACCCGTCCGCCATCTGGTCTCAGGTGAGTGCCTGTGGCTTCTAAAATAAATTTTAAATCAACAACAACAAAAAATAGGGAGACTACAACAGCCAAACGGTGTGTTCCACCATTGAGTTCTAGGCAGTCCTAACATTTGCATGAGTTTGCTTCAGACCTACTTGAGTCCTTTGTGGATTCCTCCTCAGTCCCATTCTCCTCCTCCCACCCCAGAGATTAACACTGTCCTGAGTTTGCGTGCTCTCATGCTCCTTCTGTATACACAGGTATCTTTCAACAATAGGTACCCTTGCCTTGCATGTTTCAAAAGTTTCAGTATGATGTGCAGATCATTCTGCAACATACTTTTTTTGAATTTAGCATTAGATTTCAGCAGCAGATCTCTGGTCCATTCATCTTTAACTGCTGTGTAGTTAATGATTGATGAACAGGCGTCTGTCTGTCTATCCCCATTCTCCTACTGATGAATAATTAGATTGTTTCTAATTTTGCACTATGATAAACAATGCTTCCATGAGTGTTCTTGTTCATCTCCCGTACTAACATACCAAAGCATCTCTAAAGTAGCATTTTTTCCAAATGTTTTCTCTACACCTACTAAGATATACTTTACATGGAATCCCATATAAATACGTGTGCTACATTTATCTCTCTGTGTGTGTGTGTGTGTTTGTACATATATATGTGGCATTAAAGTTTCTCAAAATAATTCTCTTACTGTCTATCCCATTATAATCCAGTTTGGGCTGGTCTATTTCACACACCAAAAAAATATGCTGTTTGCAGTTTACTAAAGTGACTCCATAACCCGGTGGTGCCTCTGCACTGTTCTGGGACACGCACCTGGACATGGAATTGCTGGGTCATAGGTTAAACTCATTTTCAAATTGAGGAGTTTATACTGTTGTGAGTCCATTTGATGCATTTTAAAAGAGTATTTGCATTTAGCCAGCGTTCTAGGGACTTCTAGGAGGAGGCTTTTCAGGTTATTTAGTGTATTCTATGGCTGGAAATGGAAGTCCGCTTTTAGCTTTCTGGGCCTGTTGTTTCATCTGTAACCAGCAGCTGAAAAAAAATACTGGACTCTTCAGTGTTTTGCAGACTGCTTTCTCTTCAGCCCCAGGGTCCTGGGGAGGAGTTCAGGGTCTGCTATAATGTGTGTCAGTTGAGGGGAGAGCGGGGGTCAGGGCAGTGAAGGGAAGGGAATGGGTAGGTGGAATTCTGGGACTTCCACCCTAGTCCCTACTCAAGTCCCTATTTTGATGTTTATCCAGCACACACTGTGTTTCCAGTGTGTGCAGCTCGCAGATTCTCTTAAGCTATGGGTTTAGGTGTTCTCCAAGGCTCTTTCCAGATCTTAGCCTGAATGAAAATAACTTCTGAGTCTCTGGACCATTTAAAATTGCAGCGAGAGTTAGAGACCTTGATGGCTTAGGGCGTAGGGCTTTGGCACATAGCGTTGGTTAACCCAAGTTCTTTGTGGGTTTCGGCCACTGTAGATGCTGACTTGGAAAGGATGCCTTTAGAGTCCGGTAGAGCAGTGAGTTAGGGGCCCTCTTGGGCTGGCGCTGCCTCTCTAGGGACAGCCATTTCTACTCTGTCCCATGGGCTGCATCACATGAGGCTGCTCTAAAAAATTATTTTGTTTTCTTTGTGCTTGTTTATTCTGTGAATAAGGGCCTCATATAAATCTCTTTGAGCTCCCTTACTGCCCCGCAAAGTCTTTCACATGCTCACGGTAAAGCTCATTTGCTCAGCAGGGGTACACATAGTGTTAAACCATTATATTCACAGCGATGAAATGTTATTACCATTGTAATGAAAATATTCAGCTCCTTGCGGGTTTATTTTTGCGGTTTACACTTCCTGAATAGTGTAAGAGTGTAAAAAGCTGGTGGTAACTTGTTAGTAAAGTGACTTCAGGGCGATGTACGTTAATTCATACAGAATCATGGGCCCCTCTCCTAAAACCCTTGCTTGCTCTCCTGCCGTCCCCGCCTCCCTGCGCTTGGAGGACTGCCTCCTCTCAGATCCTAGTCCCTCCCTTTAATTTGTCCCGCTTGCATTTCATCTTCCTTAATCACTGTTTTCATCACATCACTCCCATGCTCAGAAACCCTCCAGGGATCTTTATTTCCCACCACATCAAATCTAGACGCGGCTGCCCGTTTTCAAGGCTTCTCCCTAATCTGTTCTTTCCTTGCGTCCCCAGCTTTATTTCCTTTGCCAGATGTGGTTCTGGTTCCTGGGGTTTAGAGATAATGGAATTTTTGCACACACTCACACACAAAAATTGAAATCTGTATCATTTTTCTTAAGCACAGTTCAGCCTAGTTCCCTTAAACAAAGCGCACATCAGTGATGATTGCTTACCGCCCCCTCCTCCCCCAGGCCATGTGAGCGAGACTGAGGCGTCCTCTGGGGGCAGCGTGGGGAAAGAAAACCATTTACGCCCACCCTCAATCCATATCCCGGGAGAAGATTAGGCACTGAGAAAGATGACTGTTCACTGGAGTGGTTTGTGAAAAGCACTGCCATTTGGACAAGACAGGCAGAATGCAAGCAACTTAGAAAGTATGAAAGGTTAGATTTCAAGCCAGGAAGGGCTGTTTCAAAAACTTGGAAAGAGGTACACCCTGTATAAGCCAAAACTCAGATCACGAAGCCCCAGCAGAGATGCTGATGAGGTTGGTAAAGGAGATTCAGGAGAAGGTTTACCTCTTGGAGTAGGCTCATAACATCTGTGAATATAGCTTTTTTTTCAACTTTTTATTTATTATTTATATATTATGTGTTTAATTGTCATTTAGTTTGTTTTTCTGTAACTATTTCAATTAAGTCCTTGTTCTTCTACTTAGTAGCCATAAGATCTGAGGCAAGTTTCTTTTTTTTTTAATTTTATTTTTATTGAAGTGTAGTTGATTCACAATGTTAGTTTCAGGTGTACAGCAAAGCAATTCAGCTATCCATATACATACATATATTTTTTTTTCTTTCTGGATTCTTTTCCATTATATGTTATTACAAGAAATTGAATATAGTTCCCTGTGCTATACAGTAGGTCCTTCTTGTTTATCTATTATATATAGTATTGCATATCTGGTAATCCCGAACTCCCAATTTATCCCTCCCTCTGCCCTTTCCCTTTTGGTAACCATAGTTTGTTTTCCATGTCAGTAAGTCTGGTTTTGGTTTTTAAATAGAATTTGTGTCATTTTTTTTAGATTCCATATAAAAGTAATATATAATATTTGTCTTTCTCTGTCTGACTTACTTCACTTAAGATGATAATCTCTAGGTCCATCCATGTTGCTGCAAATGGCATTATTTCATTCCTTTTATGGCTGAGTAATATTCCATCGTGCACATACACCACATCGTCTGTATCTATTCATCTGCTGACGGGCATTTAGGCTGTTTCCATGTCTTGCTATTGTATATGGTGCTGCTGTGAACACTGGGGTGCATGTATCTTTTTGAATTAGAGATCCCTCTGGATATATGCCCAGGAGTGGGGTTGCTGGGTCACATAGTAAGTCTATTTTTAGTTTTTTAAGGAATCCCCATACTGTCCTCTGTAGTAGTTGCACCAATTTGCATTCCCACCAGCAGTGTAGGAGGGTTCCTTCTTCTCCACACCCTCTCCAGCATTTATTATTTATAGACTTTTTGATGCGGCCATTCTGACTGGTGTGAGGGGATACTGCATTGTAGTTTTGATCTGCAGTTCTCTAATAATTAGCGATACTGAGCATCTTTTCATGTGCCTGTTGGCCATCTGGATATCTTCTTTGAAGAAATGTCTGTTTGGGTTTCTGCCCATTTTTTCATTGGGTTGTTTGTGGGGCAAGTTTCTTTCTCCATAAAGTGGAGGTAATGATGCTCCATAGTATATGGGGTTGTTATGAGGACTCAATCACACATCAGAGGGCACAGGAAAAAGTTCAGGACAAAAATGTGAGGTGTTATTCCGGTCGTCTTCATTATTATAAGTACACATAAGCTGTTCTTCATTTGAGCAGCTGCTAAAATTCCACCTTCTCTCAAAATACCTTCAGGTCAGTTTAGTTCAGCAAACATTGGCTGAGTGCTCAGTGTATCCCAGGCACTGATGCAACACTGATGAAACTACAAGTAAGACATTGACCTTGCCCTTGAAAAGCTTGCCTTCCAATCGGGAAAGCAAACCCATAAGTAGATTATTTCAGTTTCAGGCTTGGCTGTCCAACACAGCCACCACTAGCCACAAGTGGCTATTGAGCTCTTAAAATGTGGCTGGTCTGAATCGAGATGTGCTCTACATGTAGAATACACATTTGATTTTGAAGACTTGGAATGGTAAAAGAATGTAAAATATCTAATTCATAATTTTTAGTATGATACTGATTACCTATTGAAATGATAACATTCTTACTGCTCAGCCACAAGAAGAATGACATTTTGCTGTGTGCAGCAACATGGATGGGCTTGGAGGGTATTAGGCTGAGTGAAATAAGTCAGACATAGAAAGACAAATACTGTATGATATCACTTCTATGCAGAATCTAAAAAATAAAACAAACTAGTGAATATAAACAAAAAGAAACAAACTCACAGATACAGAGAACAAACCAAGTGGTTACCAGTGGGGAGAGGGAAAAGGGGAAAGGCAAGTTAGGAGTAGGGGATTAAGAGGTATAAACTACTATGTA